TAAATATTTTATTGTTTGTTTTATTTCACCCACCTCGGAAGGATGGAAGGCTGAGTCAACCTTGAGCTGGTGAGATTTGAACCGCTGAACTGCAGATAACAGTCAGCTGAAGTGGCCTGCAGTACTGCACTCTAACCACTGTGCCACCTCGGCCTTCCCGCCCTCCCTGTGCCACCTCAGCCCTCCCTCCCTTCTTTTCGTCCTTTTGTCAAATTCATACAAAGTTACTGGAAGCTAAAATAAAACAAACAATAAAATATTTTATAAAACTATATCCAACCAATGAAACATTAAAAGACCATAATTGCCAAGAGGTGAGATGAAGAAGTTACATAGGATACAATCATTACATAGGATCTCCAGGGCTGTTTAAAGACCACATTATAAAGGATTTCCAGAAGGCCCCAACAATTGGGGCTAATATCAACTTGGACCTAGTTAATGCCTCTTTGGCGGAATAGTTGCTACCACCACCTATCGTGAAGGAGGCCGCAGTGCATCCATTTCTCAAGAGACTCTACATGGATCCAACCATGAGAGACAACTACATAATACTATCCCACATTTTGAAAGCATGAGTGTTGCTCTATATTTAGGCTGATGGCTGAGTTACAGTACCAAACAGAGGTGAGTTCCTACCGGTTCACACTGGTTCAGGAGAACCGGTAATGGAAATTGGTACTGGGTCGCCGAACCGGTAGGGAGAGCAGGCTGGCCATGCCCCCAAACCATTTCCCAGTCACCACTGCTGGCTTGGTTTTTATTTTTATTTTTTCATGTTATGCGCATGCGCAAAACAGCTTACACTCAACTGGACACATGTGTACAGCGAACCAGCAGCAATGCCAGCAGCAACCCACCTATGGTACCGAGGTAGCATTGGTTGCAGAGGTGGTATTCAGCAGGTTCCGACTAGTTCCGGAAAACCGGTAGTGGAAATTTTGAGTAGTCAGAGAACCAGTAAATACCATGTCTGACTGGCCCCTCCCCATCTATTTCCTGCCTCCCAAGTCCCAGCTGATCAGGAGGAAATGGGGGTTTTGCAGTAACCTTCCCGTAGGGTGGAGAGAGAATGGAGATTGTATAGTATCCTTCCCCTGCCATGCCCACCAAGCCATGTCACACCCACCAAGCTATGCCCACAGAACCAGTAATAAAAAACATTGAATCCCACCTTTGATTGGTTGCTCTTGCAGATGACCTCTGGATGGATATGGTGCAACTATCATGACCCTTCTGGATCTCTCAGTGACTTTAGATACTATCATTCTTCTGGACCAGCTAGATGTGGGAGATATTGTTTTGCGATGATTCTTTTTTCTTTGCATATGGTTGATGTTGTTAGGGGAAGAGGTTAGACCCTAATACCCTTCATTCCTCAGGATTTGAGTATCTCTCTTTTCCTCTTTATTATTTACATGAAACTGATGGGTGAGTCATTTGCCCCACGGGGTATTGTATCATTCATCCACCACCAATGGCAGGGTAAGTGGTGGTCTTATGGTGATGTTTAGCATGCAGAGGCTGTATGGATCTGAATGGAAGGAATTGACTTCAACTCAATCCTAGCAAGATAGTATCTTTCTAAATTAGACACCGGGCAAGAAATATTACTTTCTGTTTTCTCAGATACTGAAAAATGCACAGGGTGTCCAGATGATCAATATCCAACTGAGAAGCGAGTTCAATGCATCCCAAAAAGAATATCCTTCCTCTCCTATGAAGAACATCTGGGAATTGTCCTTGTATCTCTTTCCCTTTTCTTGTTCCTAACCACAGGAATTGTTTTACTCATGTTCATTAAATACCGAGAAACTCCCATTGTCAAAGCCAACAACCGAGATCTCTCCTACATCCTCCTAGTCTCCCTCTTGCTTTGCTTCTTGTCTCCTCTTCTCTTCATTGGTCAACCAAGGAAAGCCACCTGCCTTCTCCGACAAACATTTTTCAGCATCATCTTCTCAGCTGCTGTTTCTTCTCTCTTGGCCAAAACCATCACAGTGGTGCTGGCTTTCCTTGCCACAAAACCAGGAAACCGAGTGAAGAGATGGCTGGGGAAGAGCCTCGCCAACTCCATCATCCTTTCTTCTACTGTTGTCCAAGTTATCATCTGTTCCATCTGGCTTGGAATTTCTTCCCCATTCCCTGACTCTGACTCCCACTCTCAACTTGGAGTGATCATCCTGCAATGCAATGAAGGCTCTGTTGTCATGTTCTATATCACCCTTGGCTACATGGGCTTTCTTGCTGCCATCTGCTTCACAATGGCTTTCCTAGCCAGAAATCTACCTGGGGCCTTCAATGAAGCCAAGTTGATCACCTTCAGCATGCTGATGTTCTGCAGTGTCTGGGTGTCTTTTGTGCCCACCTACCTGAGCACCAAAGGGAAATACATGGTTGCTGTGCAGATCTTCTCCATCTTGGCTTCCAGTGCTGGTCTGCTAGGCTGCATCTTTATCCCTAA